AAGGCCTCTGTGTATAAGGCAAGGTAAAAAAAAGAAAGAAAAAGATTAATTCGGTCAGTGTGGAAGAACTTGGCTGGTTTGCAGAAAGCCAAGTACAAATCCCAGCTGAACACCTCTGGTGTGACTTTAAATGCAGACCTTGAGCCAAAAACTCATCACCAAACACCAATGACGTGTACATATGGGTACAGTAATTTTAGACACTTCCAAGACTGTTGCAACAGAGACAGATGGAAATACAATTTTTAAAGACATGAATTATGTTTTCATCTTTGTTGCCACAGTTTTGGAAGTGCCTTTTTCTATTCTAAAGAAGGGGGTGTCCCAATACTTTTGTCCATATAGGCTAGTGTATGAACAAGTCATTGGTGTTTGGTGATGAGTCTTTATTAATTTCTCATGGAAATTACTAAAGTAGTCAAACCTTTTCATTAGAAGGGGGTGTCCCAATACTTTTGTCCATATAGTGTATGTAACATATTTTTGTGTTAATCAGTCTAATCTGTATTCCTGTTTGCTAAAAATGACTGGGTTATTATGAGATTTTTTTAAGTAGACTACCTACCTGGTTTCCTGCATTGACCTCTTATTCATTCAACAGTCAAAGACGAATAAAAAACGACTAAACAGACTGAGGATATTCAAATAACCAGTAATCAAGACGGAAGCTACCCAGACTACAGTATGCCACTTTTCTAGTTATTTGCACATTCTCATTAATTCTTCTAATACTGCACTTTGTATTTATTTTTACATCACCGATCTGTCAAATACGAATTCACTACTACATTACTACAGATTCCACAAGTTCTCATCTTTCAACAGGTAAAATGCTGTCCTCTTGTGGCCTTTTCATAAAACAGCAGTAAAAAACTAGCCTACAAATACCACTGCCTACAGTTCCCAGCAGTATCATTTGTGGACCGTACCATTCCTGTTGCCGAGGTAGGCGTATTATGCTTTATATGTATATTAATACTCTTACTTGATGAAGTTATAATAGAATTGTTTAAAGTACTGAATGCACATTGAATAAATACATTTAATGCCTTTATAACTATTTGTCATAACCATCTACTTTTGTTGTAATTGATTTCCTGTGTAGTAGTCTCACCCCTCCTCCTCGGAATATAACTGTATAATCGCGAAGTCTTCAGCATTAACAGCCTCTTTCAACTTCCGCTGAGTAACAGCATGAGGTAAATTTCTTTACACGTGTAATACTCGATTTTTCTCAAGAATCTAACTAAGAAAAACGTTCTAACTCGAGGTAGACAGTCTACACTTTTTAATAAACGGTTAATGAAACGTCTGAAGACGATTTATGGTGTGACGTGGCTATATGCGTATAATCGCCATGTTGCGTCGTGATATTAGCAATAGTAACGTCTGGATTCTATTACATTGTACACAGTAAAAGGTTTCTAGCAAACGTTCATCATTATGTGGTACTTTGTTTTAATGTGCGTTTCCTTTACATTACCATGTTGTATTTTTGTCTCTCGGTGGCAAAAGTCCATATGGTGTGTAACGTTATAGCCCGGTTAGCAGTGCTCAACATGCTCAAACATGCCCCGTATAGACTAGGGTCACTTCGACGGCCTGCCTATCCTAAAAACAGGAGCAGATAGAAGGCCATTTGGCCTCATCTTTCCATATTTTGCTAGATTTTAGTATGATGACCGGTTTATTTTGTTATTAATATTAGCAATAAATAATAATAAAAAATAACCTTGCTACGTGTACTGCGTTAGGCTAAATGAGACTTGTCATAGCACTTGCATATCATTGCTCTTTTGTTGATTTTGATTGCTTCCATTGTCTTCATTTGTAAGTCGCTTCCAAAGTGTCTGCTAAATGATTAAATATAAATGCAATTAATTGTGTAAACCTATTGCGGTGGCAAGTTCATAGAAAGGAAAGACAACTTGTTAGGCATTAGTGAATATTATGTTGCAGTTCATGGCTAAATAAACGAGTATTAATTTCAGTTGTTAAATTTATGAAACTACAAATTTTGTACTGAATGTCAAAAATTTTGTGATT